TTTAATCAAATATTATTTCGGCTGTTACATACTGTTTATGACACACAGCCCTATTGGCTGTACGTTAGAACAATAAATGAAAGAGTGATTCAAGCTCTAATCATTGTCAAACAGTTATTTCTGCACAGACATGGAATAAATTCACCACAACTTCTGTTCAAAATATAAGAGTTTATTAACAAAAATCATTCAGCTCCAAGTCAAACATATTTCAGTTTAACACTCTTAACTAAAACTAGTGAAACTCAATCTTGTGTTTAAAAACCAAAGTTTATCTGGAAGAATTTTGGATATGATCAAATTAGCTTTTCACTAATTTAGAGAAATTAGAATGTTTTCAGACCAATTCACAATAAATATAATTGTTTATTACCGAAAATAATTTTGGTCAAAGTCAAACACATTTCTGTGAAAAAGTCTAAACTATTATTAGTTTAGACTATTATAATTAGTAAACTATTATAATTATTTTGCAAGTCAATCAATCTGTTGATCATTTTTTTCAATTAATCGATTAATAATCAAATCGTAAAAGCTTAAACCTTAAAGAAGATTTTTTTACAAAATTAAATCAAGTGAAACTAAACTTTTCCACTTGAGTTCTTGATATTGACAAAAATACATGTTTTGATTTTAAATGCAAAATTTTTATAAATAGTTTTTTAAAATTTTGATATAATTCCTGCTAAGTGGGTGGCACTGTGAGCTAAAAGCACGTCTTGCAGACTATAATCCAGTTAACAGTTAAACAATTGCTAAATTGACGATTATTGTTAAAATTGATCAATTGTTTCAGCCCTAGTGGGCACAATGCACATGTACAATAAAAAGGCAAATGAAAATGGTTGAAAGCATAATCAATCAAATGATGCCACGATATCAAAGTTCAGCATGGGTTTTATGTTTGTACGCAGAAGTTGATCTTGAAGAGTTAAAGGGTTAAATTAGCTTTTAAAGTCATTTAGAACTATTTAAATATGTTCACCCTAAATCCAAGGAGGTTAAACATTTAACATTTAAAAAATGATAATTTATTAAGTGATTTGCCTTATCCAAAATAAATAACTAACAATATGTGATTGTTCCCAAGAGAATAACGAAGAGTGTTAACCAACATGGCAGAGGGTTAATTATCTGGTTAGCCAGCATGTGGTCACCATCATTCAATTTCAGAACGTACTAAATGCATACATTTATCAGATATCATCAAAAACCCAAATGGTTCAGCTGGAAACACTTTCTCATGTTTTGCCAGACCTGCTCCCTCTGTTGACCTCCATTTTGATAAATGATGAGAGGCCTCCAGTGAGGCTTTGGACAGTTGGAACCAAAGGTCAGAGAGATTGATAAACCATGAAAGCTGTTAAGTTACCAAGTTACTCCTGTATTAAAGACAGGATGTTTCAGACAGTCTGTTTTACATTAATCTGGTCCTGGAAGTAGCCTGTTAGTCGGAAACTTTCAACAATCTGAAGAAGGGCTGGTCATTTAATTGCATTTGCACTATAATTGTAATTTAGGAAAATTTTCAAATCGCAGATGCGTTAAATTTTTAGTCTCAATACATTTAACACTG